AAGGCAATATGACGTTTACGCTGCCATAATAATATAATTAATAATAATAATAATAATAATAATAATAATGATAATAATAATAATAATAATACCTTTATTTTATATAGAGTCAATTCTACAAGATTCAACAATGCTTTACAGACTTTAAGCTTAAATTACACAACAGTAATACATTAATAAATAAAAATAAATAGATTATATATTCATAGAAAAAACTTGTGGTGATAATTAGCCAAGATGGTTATTGTACGCTTGCCGGAAGAGCCAAGATTTCTCATAGTGAATTGTCAAATTTCTTTAGCATAAATTAGTTATACTTTCATCTATTTTTCTCTGAAATATAAAAAAGCTATTCTAAAAAAAGCGTTATATAAATACCAATTATTTCCCAAATTTTTCAGTTTCTGTACATTTATACAAGTATATTTAAAGTATATCAGAAATTTTGGGATATCATCGCTGATATTTTTGGGGGGTTGCTAGGGCTTTCTGAAAAAAATATCAAAGATGGTATCCCATAATTTCTAATATACTTTTGATATACTTTTGCATATATACAAAAGGATCAGCATTTCTGCATATCACTGTATATATTAACATATATATATTTGTTATATGGACCTTTCCTAAGCTAAAAATAATATTCAAGAACATTTACACAGGCCAATTAGTGACAAAGAAAATTATTGTGTTACATTGATAAATCTCAGCTGTCTCTTGTTGTTGTGAAGTTGAACTGAATGTGGGCTTATTATATCCTTCCTTCCTCTAATTGTTTGCCTCTACTGTAGTTCATTGACTTGGGAAAATTATTCTAGATGTGAGCCGTTGTACTTTCAACCTGGACTTGCAAAGTCAAAAAATGGAATCCTTTCTTATAAAGAGGAAGTATTTAATAAATTATAGTTCATACATTTGAATAAGTTTTTTTAGGGGGGCATGAAGATGTTAGGGGGCCCTACATTTTCAAAAAAAGATAGATAGAAAGATAAATCATTTATTAAGAAATTTGCCTCACAATCGTATGTAAGTCGACTGAATTGCGTAAGTAGCATAGACATAACAAATAAAAAGGCCGATTACATATTAAATTTGTGGGGGCAATAGATTATAAAAGAGTTCTTAAAACAATCTGTTTTGAAACTTGTAGTTTTAAACACCTTTATTGATAGGTTGGCTCTAGATGGAAATAGATGTGCTAGTTAGTTCATGATCAGAATTAATTATTACATGTAGTTACAACATAGTGTAAACAGTTTACTATAGATCTAGACAACAAGTCATGTCTTTCTCTCTGTATAGGAATCTTTGCCTCTTTGAAGGCATCTTTATAAGAGAGGTCTGGGAAATTTACATTCATTGCTCTCTTTTGGATTCTTTCAATATTATTTGACAGGTAATAATTATTAAGGTAGGCTGCTATGAAATACTTGACAAGAGTAGTCTACTGAGAACTGATATAATACAGCTATAAAAAACGTAATCTAATCTTTCATTGGTACGTTAGCTCTTTTTAAGTGTCCCAGAATCCATCAGCATGAAATCAGTTGTAGTCCTGGTTGGCCGTCGTCAGAATCTCGTACAGGAAATATCACATTTGCCTTCAGATTTTCAAGTGCCTAAATGGCCTTGCGTCCCACTTAACTATTGAATGATTTTCACTACTGGGGTGATCTCCATACTTATAATACCTTCTCCTCCTGCCTTTTGTAATAACTGCAAAACATCAAAATTGTTTTTGCTATAATTGTGCTAAATTGTGAAACAACTTATTACAATCTAACCTTAGAAGGGAAACATCCCTGTTAAAATTTAAGAACAGACTCGAACTCAAGCCCTCAATAGAATATATTTGTCTCTGAATTTTCTTTCAAACTGTTTTTCTAAATCATTTTTTGTGTGATATTTGCAAGTTTATTGTTATTTAGTTACATGTACAGGCCTCCATTTAAACCAGCCTCTACTGAATTGGACTTCCTTGTCGAAATATTACTGATTAATTAAAGTTCAACACTCAGTGTGGAGTGGCTGTCTTCATTATATGTCAATTTCATCGAGAAAGCATTTGATAGT